ATTTTCTTGGAAACATACAAACATTTCTACAAATTCATTAACAGATTTTCACTACAAAACACCGCTTATGAACTCACCAGCTTTATGCTGATACTCTTTCAAAACTGCTTGTATTCTCAGGAAATCAGTAGACAAGTACCTCTTGGAGTTTCGAGCAATCAGAGCAGTTAAAGTCATGTCGTTATATTTTACTTACACTTTTGATGTAATCAAACAAGACTTAAACAGATGTAAACCTTTTTCATATGTGTATTCAATGTAATGGTTGTGTTTACTATGATTGCTATGATACAGTTGTTGTGACACTACATATAACGTCATCCACCCCCAAACGTTTTCGCCGTTCCGGTTTAGGGGTGTGACATATAGTGGTTCGCCTACTTCGATCCCATGCAGGAGGCGACGACTTTTGTGCACTAGTAGTGAAGTTCCATGAGAATAGGTGATGAAAAATCCACCATGATGAGAAATTTGTAGAGAAAACGATCGAGGGGTGTATGAGCAGAAGCGTGGATGCGACCGACATTTATAATCATTTGTGTAAGTATTTGATCAGAAGATAAATTGAAAATTAAGCCCCGGTCAGTGCAACATCTGATTGGATGACATGGGCAATGGAGGGAGAAAAATGTAGACTAAAAAATCAACCAACAGTCGATAAAGCCGACGAAGCAAAAGGATAGCTGACAAAGGGAGCCAGGGGAATACCAACTGACTAAAGAAAACCAGATGAGTCGTAGGAAAATCAGATTAGCCATGGCTTGAAACTTGCTACTGTTCCTAAGCATGTTGATAATTAATTGTATATATAACTTGTTGTTTTTTTAAATAACATGAACTTTTGATGCATATTCATATTTTTTTATGCATACGCACATTTTAAAAAAAGTGCATTTGCTGATGCATTTTTTTTCAATTCTCTTATATAAACTATATCTAATGTGAATGTGAAATTTAATTTAAAAATTAAATATGGATAAAACGTTCTCTAGTTCCCTCCCTCAAGTTTAGTTATAAGGGAGGGCCGCCTAACGAAAAAATTCATATCTCCTCCACAAGCGTTATATGTATCTTTGTTCTAATGGAAGGCTTCCTATTGACAACAAAAACACGAATGTCGTTGTTGTTATAATTATGATCTATATTTGGGTGATTTAGAAGGGAGTTGATTCGTCAATAATAGTTTTCTTCATAGATAACAATTTGTGATTTAAAATGTTGTATTGTATAATTCTACAAAATATAAATTGTTATGTGCGGAGAAAAACTATTGTGTACGAATTACTTCCCAATTTAGAATTATACAGATAATTGCATCTTTAATTTCAATAGGAGCAATCATTATTTAGCCAACGAGGTCAAATTTTCTACTTTCAAATGACTTATCACTGCATGAAATCAACGCAATAGCGGCGACACACACCATTAGCGGTGACGTGTAAATTTCATGTTGCCTGTCGCCGCTAAAGGTAGAAAAACATGATCCCCGTCAAATGAGATTTGTTAACTCATATCCGTCGATCTGGACCTAATCGAACAGCTGGCAACGAAGATCTCTTAAACTATTAGCGGCGACGTTAATGGCGGTGACAGTGTCGCCGTTAATGCTTCAAAAAAAATCACGATATATTTTCGATCTAGACGATGTCGCCGCTAAAACCCAATTGCCGCCGCCAATAGCTGTTGTCGCTAAAGGTTTTCGCAGATATACCCTTCCTCCATCGCTTTCTGTGTTTTGTCATCATTTTACCCCTCCATCATCGACGTTAACCCTTCCGAAAACGAAATCGATCCAAACCCTCGCATCCTCTATCAGTGGCGACGATAAGGCCTCCATCATCAGTGACAAAAGGTGTAACACAGATGACAATAGTTAGCTGCCAGATTTTCTGTCGGGACACAAGTGCTTCTTCTTATTTTTTTTCGATTTATTTTCTTTGCAGTGACTATCTACTAATTTGGGTGTTTGATTTTATATATTAAGCTTTGTTGACTTCTAATTTCGGGTTGTCATCACCGCCACTACAGCTGCCAGGTTTTCTTCCACCAAAACACCACCACAACACCACCACCATTCTAATTTCTTTCCACCACATGTTCTATTCCATTTCATGAAGTATTTTAATCTAGTTCTTCATATTGTATGCATTATGTATGTATGCAATGTTTATGATGTAAGTATATGAAAATAGAATGCATAAATGTATGTAGTGTGTGTATATATGTATGTAATGTGTGTATATATGTATGGAAAAAATGAAAAAAGTAGGGCGCTATAATGGAAAAAATGAAAAAAAGTAGGATGCTATAATGAATATTCAATATGTATAGGAAGTATGTTTAAGCGTATTTGTATGTATAATGTGTGTATATATGTATATAATGTGTATATATATGTATTAAGGGCTTTTTTGGAAAGTAAAATGCTATAATGGAAAAAATGAAAAAAAGGTAGGATGCTATAATGAATATGCAATATGTATAGGAAGTATGTTTAAGTGTAGTTGTATGTATAATGTGTATATATATGTATGTAATGTGTGTATATATGTATTAAGGGCTTTTTTGGAAAGGAAAATGCTACATTGGAAAAAAATGGAAAAAAGTAGGATGCTTTAAATGAATATGCAATATGTGTAGGATGCATGTTTAAGTGCACTTTTATGTATATGTATATATGTATTGATTGGAATACCAATTAAGTTTTAAGGATTTTTTTGGAAAGTACAATGCTATAATGGAAAAAATGAAAAAAAAGCAGGATGCTATAATGAATATGCAATATGTGTAGGATATATGTTTAAGTGTATTTGTATGTATATGCATATATGTATTGATTGGAACAATACTTAACTTTTAAGGGCTTATTTGGAAAGTACAATTCCATAATGGAAAAAAAAGTAAGATGATATAATGAAAAAAATATGATACTATATTGTACATCTTATAATTATGCAGACTAACTTTTATTCATATTGTGTTTCTATATTGTACATCTTATAATTTTGTAGACTATATATGGTGTTTAGTTGGGTGATACTCCTTTACATCATGGGCGTCGGCCGATGTGATGGGCTTAGGACATGGAGGTTCTGGAGTCGGGGATCCACCACCTTCTGTAGGTATTGGCCGCAGAAAGCACGAAGAGGATGGTAAGTCTTATTATGATATATTTATTAGCTATTTTTATTCTCTTATTATTGTGACTAATATTTTTAATTATATTTTTTCAGCTGAGCTACCAAAAAAAGACGAGGATTATCTAAAAACATCGAACTCGCAAAGCTGATACGAGCAAACAAGCGAAAACCCGTTGATTTGGATTTCGACAGAAAGCTCACATTTTCCCCTGTCGGAAAACGTGACAATTTACCCATGAGACTGGGCAATAAATTTGGCAAACATCCCTTTTAGCAATCTGGTTCGGACAATGTTTCCTCCGCTTTAAGGAATTCCACAATCGCACATCTGAAGGTAAATTAATTATATCATAATATTTTAAGTTTATTTGTGATTGATATTTAATTAACTAACTTTTTTGTATTTGTAGAGAAATTTTGAATTGCATATATAGGCTTAACTTGGATCCCTAACGTGCTCAGTTGTTGCATAGCATTGATGCGAGTCTACAAAAAATTTATAGAGGACGTAAAAACAAAGCACATACTTATTTTCAGAATGTCGGACTGCTTGCAGATATCCCAAAGGAATTAGCCAACCCCCCAAAGGGTAGGTCACCTGAAAATTAGGCACACACAGTCGAACACTTTCAAACGCCCAAATTTATAAAGTGTTCGACAACAAACAAAGGAGTCCGTGCACAACAAGTTGTAGATAGAGGGGCTATCAGGTTCATATAGCCATGCCTATTTCAAAGAAGTAAGTTATGATATATTTAACACTTTATTTAAAGTATAATTAATCTAATTTTTAATGTTAAATAAGGCATCAGTAGACTCGAAGCATTTCATAAGGCTAATACCAATAGTGAATGTGTATTTAGTAGTCCTACAGTCAAGCAATGATATGTAAGTGGTTAATTTTTATTTTCATATAAGTGTTTATATATATATATATATATATATATATATATATATATATATATATATATATATATATATATATATATATAATGATGTTAATCATTTTTTTTGAAAATACAGAATGCTTTGCTCTAAGAGATCAATTAGCAAACTCAAGCTTTTTCTGGAGCAAGCCATCTGATATCAGAGGACGTAAAAAAGTGTTTTGAAAGAATTTTGGGTGTTCGACGTGGCCATATCAGAGACATCGAACGTAAACCTTCTACGGTTGTGTTGATGTACAATCGGGAACAACCAACGACACAACCATCGCCACAATCACAGGTAACAAGACTGTTTAATTTCAAAATCTCATATATATATATATATATATATATATATATACAGAGAGAGAGATAGAGAAAGAGAGAGATAGGTTCAAATGTTTTTAACAACTATTGTGTGCATGAATGCACCAATAGGAATTTAGGAAAAAATAAATAATTAAATAAATCAGTTAAGGGTATTATAGTAATATTTGCATAGTTAATTATGGAAGATAATTAATATTCCTGATTTCACTCAAGAATCAAAGATAAATTTAGAGCATTAGCCATAAATCGTACTCAGTATCGTTTCAAATGCACCATTTCGTTTCGTTTCATTCCTGAATCGAGTTGGAGCTTTCATATCGATTCAAAACACAACAAAAAAAACCCTAGAATTCGATACTCTAATTCTGTTTAGAGCGATTCTTGAAGCCATTTCCCCCATTTATCTGGTTATTGGCTCGTTAAATTAACATAAATTCTCATATTTACATGTCAAGATCGCTATCTAACCCTTGTCACCTCCAATCCATTTGACGTTTTTCTCTTTGTTTTCTTCTACATCATCGTAAGTATTTTTCTTTTTGGGGAATTTGTGGATTGAGCGTTTAAAAGGTACAATCAGAGAAGGGGTTGTATGCATCGATTGATGGAAACAACAGGTGTTAGCGTTGATCCTACGAGTTCTGATAATCATGCGACTAATAGTCCGAATTCATCAAACCCCACATCACCGACGATGCGGAGGATAAGTAGTAGCAGTTCTTCGCCGAGAGCGATGTCGTCTTCTCCGTTTCCGATAATTCGTTTCTTACAAGCACCTGTAACAACTATAATTGAATACTCGGGTGTTCTTCGACCTAGGTCGAATACCGATTATCACGAATCAGAGAGCTTGATTTCTAACCATCATCATCGTGATCATAACTCGAGTGGTTCCAGTACTGCTAGTAATAGAAGTAGTAATGGTGAGAATAGCAATGGGGAGGTTTCGATTCGGATAATGGGTGATGTAGACCAAGAAGAGGAGCGTGGTGAACCGGTTGCAGTGAACCATGAAGATGGTGGAGGAGAAAGGGAGGTGGCTGATTCCGGTGATGGAAGTGGTGGTAATGGCGGGAGTAATAATAACGTGGATTCAGCATATCAACAGCGGTATGATTTGCAACAGGTTTCAAGGTGGATTGAACAGATTCTTCCATAGCTTTTGTAGGCAGGTATATAATAATATAATAAACTGTTGAACAGATTCTAAAGTATTTCTTGTGCAGTGGTTGAATAATTGTGTAGGGAGGAAAAATTACTTCACATTCGTGTGCCTAATGGCTGTAAGTGTTGTTTGGGTAAGTTGATTATCGAAAAAATTGTCATAGAAGGCCTTGGTATCTAATATGATGAGGGTAATTCTGCCAGAATGGAATCTCGAATTCCAATTCTATTAGAATGAAATCTTGGATTCCAATGCTTAAGTTCCAATTCAACCTAAGCATTGAATTTTGTATGAGCTATCATGTCTAAAAGTTGTTATTTTTTCTGCACTTACTCATTAGTTTGTGCATTTTCTTCAATTTTTACTTATCGGTTTTGGTGCAATTCACAACTTTCATTCTATGAGAATATAAATATTACATAAAACATGTGTTGCTAGTAATTCTGACAGAATACATTTATACATGCTTTTTAGAATGTTTATGCATATAGAAGAAAAGACTATGATTTAAGTGCATTATGTAATGTATTCTATTAGAATTTATTTCTATAAATGCATTCTGTTATAATGTCTTTGAGAATGTTTGTTAACAACAAGTATATTTGTTTAACTAGTAATACTAACGAGTAATGTATCTTATTCTTTCAGAATTACATGGAGAAGGAATTCAATATTAATCATACAAGAGAAATATTTGGAATCGAGTTCAACAACAAGTATATATGTGAAGATCAAGTTGATTATATTGACCATTGAAGAGGATCAAGTGTATTTGTTCAATAATTGTATATTCAAGAATGCTATTTTTTAACAATTTTATTCATATTTGATGATATTCTGTTAGAATATGTATAACTATATTAAAATGTATAAGGATATTAGTCTGTAAGAATATGTACTAATTTGTATTTAATTTCGAATGTATATTAAGAATAAAATCATAGACCCAAGTTGGATGTATATGAATAATATCTTGTTCTTAAATCGGGTCAATTATCAAATATAACTGCATTGGAAATGTATTCTGCAAGAATAAAATCGAAAGTATATTTACTAGTTTATGGCTGGAATTCTGTCATTCTCACAGAATAAAATCGGATTTTTAAATCTGAATTAATTTAAAATAGTCAAAATTTTAAAAATAAAAGAATTAATTATCCCTTAAAGTCCGGAAATTTTTTTTTTAATATAGGTAAATTGACCAAAATACCCTTATGCTGAAAATTGTGTGATTATATGGTGCATGTTACCCTATTGTAATATCATAGACTCTCAGATCATTACCTTTGATTCTATTCCATCCGGTGGTCCAGATCTGTGCATTCTGGCACACAATAGTTAGTAAAAACAAAATAACCTAACCCTATATATATATATATATATATATATATATATATATATATATATATATATATATATATATATATATATATAGGAGTAGGATCAAAAGAGAACACAAAAAAGGTTGAGAACGCGAGAACAGTTCTGGACCCTTCAAATTTCAAAATCTGAGGCAGAAATTAATTTGACATTTTGTTTAATTTCCAACTAATTTAAATATTTTTTAAATTTCAAAAAATAGGAAAAGGGTATGAAGGTAATTGTATTTTTGATTCTTTCCACAAAATTAGCAACTATTATATGGAAATTAAACTCAGTCAACCTTATTAAAATGAAATCAACCAAATTATCACAAACCCGATCACTCTGTCTCTCATACTCGCCGTCTTCATCATTCTCCCGTCACCACCATCTTCGTTTCATCAGTTCCGGCCAAATCACGACCATAAAATCACGCCAACATAGAATCTGTCACCATACAAGACCGTCGGGCCACCACTGGTTGAACACGGGTTCACTAGGACCCTCCTTCAACATCTTCCAACCACCGTCTACCCTTTAAATCCTTTGTTCTTCATCTCTCCTATCGTGAAAACAGAATAGGGTTTGAGTATGGAATGGATTCGAAACAGAGAAATCCACCACCAAAACCCCGATCCCCAAATCACAGATAGCTGTTGTGGCGGCTGACACGAAGCTGTCTTCACCTCTGGTTGCATCAGGGTTTCATCATGTTGTTTACGGATGGATTGTTGTTGACTAATGGTGGTGCTAATGTGATGGGGGAGCCGATGCCTAGGGCTCAATGGGACTCGGGGCTATTCGCGTGTCTCGGTCGTAATGATGAGTTCTGTAGCAGCGATATTGAAGTCTGTGAGTTCCTCTTTCCCTTTCTTATTATTTATTTGAAAACGAATCGATTTCTTCTCTTGATCTAGATTAGGCATTCCTAATTATTGAGAATTTGGGTTTCTATTATTCGATCATCTGCTTTTCGAAATAGCTTGAAACAATTGTATGAATCTAACTATGCATCAAAGAACATCAAAGAACATGAAACCTATATCATTTTTTAGCATCTGCTTTTTAATTTTGGTAGGGACACTCTGGTCTTCAAGTTTCATTTAAGTTTTTTGAATCATAGTTTTAATATATGTGAATCTAGTTTTATTTATTTATGAATATGACTATGTAAATCTATGAAGCAGCCACGACAATGCATGTGAGGGGAAAAAGCCAAGAGGCTGCTGCCTCTTTTATAGTTGTTCTTGGTCTTTGATTTCACCAGCAAATTAAGCATTAAAAGGGTACTTTTGGTGTGGTAATACTTGACAAAAAGGAATGAGAAAATAGATGAATTGAGGGCTGAAACGAAAGGGCAACAACTATTTTCTTATATTCATTTGTGAATATCAATATATTTATGTGTAAATTTATGTTTGAATGACTGTATTTATTTATGAATAGCAGGGTATTCATGAGTAATCAATAAGTGTATTTATTTATGATTAGGAGTATTCATTTTATGAAGAAATGATAATTTTTACACTTTTTATTTTGTATTTATTTATGAATACCAGTGTATTCATTTGTGAATATCAATGTATTTATGTGTGAATGACTATATAATTATACATAATTGTTTCTTTAACATTTTTTGCAGATACAATGAATAAACATGCATATAGTGGGAGGTGGGAGATTTACCAAATAAAACATCGACACCAATACCTCTTTCGGAAGGAGCGCAAATGTATTTTATTCATTTATCATTGTAATTGTAGTACTAGTTTCCGTGTCAAAAAATATATATTGCAACTTATTCATTTACTATTATAATTATATTCTTATATGAATAGAGATGTGTTTTATTTATTTATATATGAGTACGATTTTAGTTGATTTTATAATCTTTTTTCGGGTTTTATTCATTTATGATTTTACAAGTGTATTCATAGATACAACTGAGTTAATTCATTTGTAATTTACCATTTTATTCATTTTAAAATGAAATGTATAAAACATTATTTATGAAGATATTTTTAAAAAAAAAATAAATGAGGTAAACCGATAAATTATTCATTCTCTTGATATTTGATTGCTAAAAATGAAACATAAAAATGAAAAATGAAATGAAAAAAAAAACGTTTTTTTAGATAGACATTAAATCATGATTTTATTAATTATTAGTTCATTAAAAGAATAGGATCTAAAAAATGAGATATTTTGGGTAATTGTCATCATAATCACTAAAATTTAGGAAATCATAATTTAATTAGATGGTAAAATTCCATTTATGCCCTCAAAAAATGATTGGTCTACAACTGTTCTCGCGTTCTCAACCTTTTAGGTGTTCTCATTTGATCCTCTCCCTATATATATATATATATATATATATATATATATATATATATATATATATATATATATATACTCTGGTTATAGTTTGATACCAGGGTTTTTTGTAGTTTGGTAATTGTTAGTTAAATTATGTTTTGGTAATTATTAGTTTGGTTATGTTTTGGTAATTGATAGTTTGGTAATAGTTTGATATGTTGGTAATTGTTAGTTTGGTAATAGTTTCAAATGTTGGTAATTGTTAGTTTGTTAAAAGTTTCTGTGTTGGTAATTGTTAGTTTGGTTATAGCGGACATATTGGTATTTTGTAGTTTAGTTATAGTTTTATTTGTTGGTATTTTGTAGTTTGGTAATTGTTAGTTTATGAAAGTACAATGCTATAATGGAAAAAAATGTAAAAAAGCACAATGTTATAATGTATTATATGCAATATGTGTAACATGTATGTTTAATTCTATTTGGAAAGTACAACGTTATAATGGAAAAAATAAAAAAAAAGTAGGATGCTATAATCATCATGACCTTAGTTTGTACTTTGCTAATATTTCCTAAGTTTAGCTATAATACAATGCTATAATGGAAAAATGAAAAACAAAATACAATGCTATAATGTATATGCAATATGTGTGGGTTGTATGTTGTTTGTACTTTGCTTATATTTTCGTAAGTTGTTGGTTTAACTTATAAGACTATGTTGTTGTCTTTGTAGTTGGACATGCTTCAAACAAATTTTAAACGGCCCGACATGTAGTGCTGCACTTGAAGAACAGTTTCGTTTGTTGCCACAACGAAATGAACCCGGAGGAAATAAGGAGAGTGATGATGATGAATAGCTACTTTTAGGATTTTTGTAATGTTTTGTTTGTGTAAAGATTTGTAGACTAGTATTTTGGATAATTTGCAGTATGTTTGGATGAATATTTTGAACGGATGTCATTTGGATTAATATTTTGAACAGATGTTGGATTAGATTAATATCATAGCAGAAGGACAGTCAAGGGCACAAGTTAGAATGAGTAATATGAGGATCAACATAGAAGTGAGGAAATTTTTGGTTGGAGACTATTTTTATAATTTTCATATAGTTTATTTATTTATAATTTTAATGTTAAATACAAAATAAAGGAAAATACAATTACTGGCGACACCTTTAGTGGCGACACATGTGTATTAGCGGCGGCAACCCTTTAACGGCGATGTATGACAATAGCGGCGACAAACCTTTAGCGGTGAATTCGGGAGTATGTGCTCATGGACGGACCCAAGATTTCGTAGTAGGTGTTGCCGGTGGCACG